ATAACAATAATTATATATATATTTAATCAGTATCAGTCTACGTGTAATTTGATATTAATATATATATATATAATTATATATATATTAATAATAAAATACACCTAGACAGTGTATGTGTGTGTATGTATATGTGTATATATATACTTAGATCATATATATATAATATATATATGATCTAAGTATATAATTTATTTTTTTACACTTTATTAATTTAACTTTATTATTTTATTTCCAGCCAGCAGGGGGACTGCCTGTCATTACAGGCAGCCCCCTGCTGGCAATGCAGCAGGCAGCTAACCCTGCCATGTGATTGTGAGGTCCTCGCAAGGACCTCACTCTCACATCGCCGGGGGGCTGCAGGAGGTCGGACATGCTGCGGGGGGCTCCCTGGGAGTCCCCCCAACCGCGATCGCCAGCGACCGGGTAAGTAACAAAAAATTGGAGGGCGTACTATTACGCCCGGCGGCATTTAGAGCCGCCTAAAATAGGACGTAATAGTACACCCTCCGGTGTTAAGGGGTTAATAAACAACTGTGCTGAGTGTCCCTTTTCTCAATACCTTCTGGGTGCCGATCATCTGGCTTATGTAGATCTGCAGAAGGTGGATGCCTCTCCTGCCATCCATCCATTCATTTACTGAGAGTGTCGGATAAGAACTCTCACACAACAAATAAATCTTTGTACACAAAAATTACATTAGCCAGCCTGGAACTCTTGTTGGAGTTACACAGCTAGCCTAAATATATGCATCGTGTATGTGCTGCATTTCATACTGTTTCACTGCATACATGAGCTCCTTGCAACAAGACCGTTTTAAAAACCAAAAACCTGTTCTTGGTTCTTGAAGTAGCCTTGTTTTGCACTATAACACCCACGATTGGTTGGACTGAACTGCATTTGGCAATTCAAGCCTTATTTTCTTACCAATGCGATTATGATATAGGACGATGCTGGCTATATCTTATTGTAATTTCCCATGACTCCAGATGTAATAAAGGTAAATAAGATGGGACAATGTGGGGTGGATTATTTTACACAAATTTTTGTATGGCTATTATTTAATGTGGATTCACATCAATTATAGCTACATTGTCTGGCTTGATGTGTTTCCTTTATGCAGTCCCTCCGATGGGACTATTTATTTTATAATTTGGCTACCCTCCCTTGAGAAAGGCATTTTGACCTAAATGTTGGGGTGTATAGTTGTCTTTTGGTATCCTCTCTCATAACATCGTGCTATTGGGTGCTTCATGCCTCTGGTATATAATCCTGTTTATTTATTTTCCAGAGGCAGGTGTCTACTCTGCTTTCTTGTCGGGAGGACCCGGAAGCAGGGGGAGGGATCTAGGAAGCAGCTCTCCTGTCCTCCCGCGAGCAATCTGTGTGGAGTGTTGCTGCGAGTTACCATGGCAACGCTCCACACAGCATCGCATGGAAGGACAGGAGAGCTGCTTCGCAGACATATACTTACCATCACTGGACCACCATGAATGGACGTGTCCCCCCTCCTTCACCAAAGGTAAGTAAAAGGGAGGGGGGATACAGATTTAATATCTTTTTTAAATGTATCTTCACCCCTACACCCCCCCACACAGCACCCACAGGACCCCTAACCTCCCCCACACAGTACCCCTATCCCCCCACATCCTCACTCACAGCACCTCTACCCCCCACAAACAGCACCTCTACCTCCCCCACACACAGCACATCTACCCCCCCACACAACACCCTACACCCCACACACACACAGCACCCCTCAGACACAGCACTCCACACCCTTACACACAAACACATACACTGCACCCCTCAATGCAGTATGTGTGTGTGTAAACAGCAGTCTGTATGTATTCAGTAGTCTGTATCTGTGTATGTATTCAGCAGACTGTGTGTATGTACTCAGCAGTCTGTGTGTGGGTATTCTGCAGTCTCTCTGTATGTGTATTCAGTGGACTCTGTGTGTATTCAGCAGTTGGTGTATGAATGTGTTCAGCAGTCTGTGTGTATGTATTGCATTTGTTGGAGATACTAATAAATATAAGCTTCATTTTATCTATTTATATAATTGTTTAAAATTTGTATCATTTAACTCTCTGTTGTGTTCTTTTAAAACAAAAGATGTTAATTAGTTCGGACAACTGTACTTGTTGTTTTTTCTAAACTTAAACCTCAGTATTCAGATTTAATTGCCGTGTTGGCACTTTGAGGAAAAAAAAGTTGGCATGTATTGCGGTTTGGGCACTCTGGCTCAAAAAGGTTCGCCATCACTGCCTTAGCCCAACATCCAGGGTTTGTGATGTCTACTTTATATAAATATATACTTTTGTGTGGCAATTTTGTTTTCTGTGATGGCTACTAAATGTACAAGACAAACATACCAACTTCTAAAATTGTTTCACATTAACTTTTTTATTTTAGTCCTTGTATTTTGTGACCTGTGACTTTCAAAATAAGCTGAAATCCTACACATTTCATGTACTCTATAAATCAAGACACATAAATTAATTTATTTTTAATTACTTTTCCTAAGCTGGACATATTATGCACACGCTATTATTGCCAAAACCGTGAAATATATATTTTTTTCCAATTTTTTATAATTAATGAGATTTTATCTATGTATATGTGACATCAAATTAAAGCCCTTTTTGCCTTCTAAAAACAGTATATAATATGTGTTGGTGCAATGAATGACAGAGATGGAAATTTTAAGACAGGAGGCTTCATATTTGCTTTACTTTCTTTACTGTAACTCCCAGCAGCAAAGAAATAGTTAACAGTAAGCAAAAAATGTAACCAATCAAAGTGTACAATAGAGTATGTCCAGTCATCAGGCTCCTCCCAGCTCCTCCTTCTGTGCTGCTTAGCCTCCCAGGTGAGTCTATTCCAATAACAGCTTGTAATCAATTTTAAATATATATATTAACATGGTGTAAATTTTACTTCTAAACTACCATTCACATACCTATAGTACTTAATAGTTACTTTATCCTTTATATCAATAAATTGCAGGACGTTTTTCCCTCCTTTAAGCCACAACTACTGTTTTGCCACTGTTTCTTTAAAATAAACGAATCCGTCTGCACCCATCTATACACTAACGTACAATCAGGATTACTGGCAGAGCCGCGTCAGTAACCTGATCGCGGCTTCTGGCCGGCTGCCATCCACTGGCGCTATCACCGCCTGCATTGCCGCGATCATCCCCCCTACCATCACCATAGCGACGGGTCCGTCCTCTCGCGGCCATTTCCTTCCCCCTGTATTGCGCAGGCTTTTTCCCCGCGCTTCATCTCCTCCATTCCAGAACGTCTGTTGCAGCTCGGTGTTCTCCACGGCTCTCCAGCGCCTTCTACTGGTTATTCAGGTTACATTTAAACCAAAAAAAAAAGTAATAAATAAATCTAATTAAACAGCACTTTGCTGGTAGATTACTATTATTAAAGTATCTTCAATTTGTTTTATTTTCAGATTGCCAATCTAAAACTAAAAATCCTTGCATAAGAGGGTGACCCCCTCTATACTGAATAATATTGTCTCATTACAGAGGGTGACCCCCTCCATATTATATTTACCTGCTTCATTATAGAGGGTGATCCCCTCTAAAAGTATATTTATATTGCCTCACTGTCTCCTGAGGGTGACCCCCTCATTACTCTTTCTAGCGCATTTTATTTGTGGGTGACCCCACGTTCAATTGGTGACTGACACCACTCTTGATACAATGCTTTGCGTTACTTTGCCCTAAAAAGCCACCGCCTATTGAATTATTATTAAAAAATAAATTAAAATTTATATATTTTATATATTACTGTGGTGACCCCACTTTATCGCTATTATGTCAGATTGACCTGAACCAGCAGTCCCTGCGGAGCTAAAAGCTTGGCTGTATAACGCCATTGCGGACTCCATTCCAAAAGCCTTAGCAGCTTTCCACGACCAGTCAAAATCCACCTCCAGGGCTCCTATTGTACATCTGTCAGACTAGGAAGAGTCAAAAGGCTCAGACCACGAGGAAACCCCTCGCAAACGCCCCTGGAAGGGCGATAGTGCTACTGCCGGTAAAGGCAAAGCACCAGCTAAAACATCTAGATTATCCATCCCAGATACTCGGGATAATAATCCCAATTATAATCTGGACCCATTAGAGGGTTCTACCTCCAACCTGCAACTTCAAGTGGTTGACGAATACTGTGCAGGGTATTCGGACAAGGATTTTCCTTCTCATGAACTAAATAAATCCCCCTCTGAATCTAATCCCATTTCTGATTATATTTTACTGGATACCCTTGGCCGTCCCCTGTTCGACCCTAGATACAAGCCTTTGGAAAAGGAAGTGAGAGCTAAGTTAAGAGCAGAATCCCCACGGCCTTTTATCCCAGAAAAGGTAGCTGTTACCCCAGAATTTGATCCCTTGCTCGTCACCTTCCTAAACAAATCAAGAAAAGATCCCCGTAAGGGTTTGGAACAAGGCCTGAAGGCAACTCAAGATAAAATGATGGATATGGCGGGACAGTTTGTCCAAATATTCAGTATTGCGGATGAGGCTTTGGCAGGTGGCACTTTAGATGCGCACATGGTGCGTGAATGGGTACAAAGGGCATTATGCCTACTTGGCAATGCCAATGCAGCCATGTCAACTGAAAGGCGGAAAGCCGCCCTATACAAAATTGACTCAAAGCTCGCCGAACTAAGCACTAAAGAGCTTGGCCCTCAGGCACAAGGCATGCTTTTTGGAGAAAAAATTATTAAGGAATTAAGCAAACACGTTGCTGTGTTTACAACGCTTACCAAAGCACAATCCTCACTACGCAAGGTGTTTAGGACCCAGCGTTTTTCCGGGAGAGCCAGCCATTACAGAGGCCGGTCGGCTGGCAGAGCTGCCATTACAGGCTACAGGCCTCGACCTTCAGAGCACTGGAATTTGGGCAATACCTGTTTCCACCACAAACACTTCTTCCCATCTCGTGGCTCTATTAGAGGACGTGGATCTGCTTCCCTCCATGGTCGCACTCCTACAGGTAATGGACTCTCATTTTTCTCATATACCTATAGCAGGCCGATTAATCAATTTTTCCCAACAGTGGTCTCGACTCACACAGGACCCGTGGATCCTTCAGACCGTGTCTGGCTTCCACCTAGAATTTACAGAGAACCCAGTTCAAATGTCTTTACCTACTCCCCTCAGAATGTCTCAAATAGACGGCATGTCCCTTCAGGTCGAACATGACGGCCTAGTCACCAAGGATGCCATTGAGCAGTCCCTCAGCCCACAAGGTTTCGTGAGCAACATCTTTTTAGTCAAGAAATAGTCGGGAGAGTTCCGACCAGTCATCAACCTAAGAGAATTGAACAGATTCATCAAATACAGACATTTAAAGATGGAAGGCATCCATCTACTTCGAGACCTCCTCTGCGAGGAAGACTGGTTCTCCTGCTTCGACCTCAAAGATGCATATCTCACGGTACCAATCACGCCAGAACACCGCACCTTCCTCCAGTTCCATTGGCACAAAACACTTTGGCAGTTCACCTGTCTCCCCTTTGGACTATGTTTCACCAAGCTAATGAAACTGATGATGGCACTATTCCGTTCACAAGGGATTCGGTCCATCATATACTTGGACGATATCCTCCTTATGGCTCAAGACGAGGAGACACTATGTCTCCATACAGATATGACTTCGGCTCTCCTCCAGAATTTGGGTTTTGTCATCAACCTTCAAAAATCATCTCTAACCCTATCCCAGACGGTACAGTTTCTGGGATTTCAGATAAATTTGATTCAGGCAGTTCTACAACTTCCTGCTACAAAAATCAAAACCATAAAAAAGGACATCCGGAGATTGCTGGCTTCACCATATATCCGACTCAGGGATTTAACCCGCACAATCGGGCTACTCTCCGCCTCAATCCAGGCAATATTTCCAGCCCCACTACACTATCGGGCAATGCAACGTTTGAAAACACACTACTTGCAGCGTTCAAAATCCTACGAACAACAAATTTTTGTCACAGACGAAGTCCAATTGGAACTCCACTGGTGGCTTCAACATATGGAAGCCTGGAACGGAAGGGCTAACTTTGGTCGACAACCCGATTTCATTCTGGAATCGGATGCCAGCCTCCTCGGATGGGGTGCCACCTGCTCGGAACGTTCTACCGGAGGCCTCTGGTCCCCATCAGAACAGGCACTACACATCAATTGCCTCAAACTGATTGCTGGTTCCTTCGCGATTCAGAGTTTTGCCAAAAAAAAATACAACTGCTGCCTTATCCTGAGAATGGACAATGTCTCAGCAGTATGATACGTGAACCGCCTAGGTGGCTCCCAATCAAAGATGCTATCAGATCTGACAAAGGAATTGTACCAATTCTGCCTGGACAGGAACATCTCCCTTCGTGCAGAATATCTCCCGGGCTCCGACAACCTCGTCGCAGAATGGTTCTCCCGCTACTGGAGGGATTCCAGCGACTGGCAACTGGATCCACACATTTTCCACCATCTACAGGTTCTGAGGGGGCCACTCTTATCGGTCAATCAATGTTTTCCGTTCTGCCATTTCGGCAGCTCATAGCCCTGTTGGCAAACATCCCTCCATATGCAGACTCTTGCGGGGCATCCGCCTCTCGAGACCTCCAGCTCCCAAATATAATCAATTTTGGGATGTCGCTATTGTGCTATTCTTCTTAGAGACCTGGCCCTCTAATGAAGAGCTCACTCTCCAACAACTGCCAGCCAAACTGGCACTGCTGTTCTGTCTGGTATCTTTTAGAAGAGTTTCGGACATCAGAGCATTTGACGTCCATGCCGTTGATTTTACCCCTGAGGGAGTACACTTCTCCATTACCCGACGCACCAAAACCAACTCATCTACGGTAAACTACCCTTACTTCCACAACAAATCCATGCTTTGAGTCGCTAGTTGCGTCCGACAGTACATCTTTCGCACTAATGCCCTTAGAACGCAAACAGGCCCCCTACTGGTGTCATACGTTCGACCTCACACACCAGTGTCATGCCCCATGATTGCCTGTTGGATCAAGTGGCTACTGGCCCTAGCAGGAATCGACCTATGTTTTGGTGCTCATTCAGTGAGAGGCGCATCTGACTCTTTTGCATTTACGTCTGGGGGCTCCCTAGCGGAGATCCTCACCTCGGCAGATTGGTCCAGAGAATCCACATTCAGAACCTTCTATTTCAGACAATCTTCTCATGTATCTAATTCCATCTTATTATCGCTTTAAAACAGCAAATATGAAGCCTCCTGTCCATAAAATTCGGGATTATTCTAACTTTAGTGACTGACTAATCTAAATTTTATAACCAAAATTGCAAAATTGGCTTGCATCCTTAAGGGTAAGACAGGCTTTTGAAGCTGTGTGCTTAAGGGGTTAAAAATTAAAGACAGTCTGAGCTGCAAAAAATAGGCAATGTCGATGCACTGCAAAAATATATAAACCAATGTTACTCTTTTGAGGACTCGGCTCTGATTGACTGATTTTGAGTCTTCAGGCAAATCTCTGGTTGGTCCTGAACAGGTTAATAGATTGGCTGAGCACTTGGCTTCCCCAGTCATGCGGGCTCCAGGTCGCAGTGGCAGAAGTGATATTCACCCCAGTCATAGCGCCACCTGCTGGCCTCTCCTGCTTTGCTCGCAAGCTGCAGACGTCTCGAAACCTGAAGGATAGCTGCCGCAGTGCCGTGTAGCCCCTCCTACTCCGGCAATGAAGAGGTGCCGGTGGGCGTTCTTTTGTGTGCGTCAGAGCGATGTAGGGGGAAAAAGCGTTTCTGATTGGCCGCCGTGTCGGTCGGAACCAATCTGTGCAGTTTGGGGGAGAGGAGTCTTGTGGTGACCGTGAGATGAGCGGCCCTGGGATAAGGTTCCATTACATTGTCTGCGGGTCCCGGGGGCTGGAGGACGGCAGGTAACTACCACAGCAACCCGGGGGTGGGGGGAGACACAATCACCGGCCTATCAGACGGACGGAGTGAGGCTGGTCACTGCTTGCTATTACCCGGACTGCAGTCAGTGTGTGCTGCAATGCCTGCACTGTGACCTCCCACCATTGTGCTGGAAGTTTTGCAGTGAATCAGTGCAGGAGCCTTCCTTCCCACCCAGTAATAAAGCACACCGACAGACTGCATGCCAGGCTGTGCCATGCTAGCTGTGTGTGCCAGGCTGTGCCAAGCTAGCTGTGTGCGCCAGGCTGTGCCAAGCTAGCTGTGTGCGCCAGGCTGTGCCAAGCTAGCTGTGTGCGCCAGGCTGTGCCATGCTAGCTGTGTGCGCCAGGCAGTGCCAAGCTAGCTGTGTGTGCCAGGCTGTGCCAAGCTAGCTGTGTGCGCCAGGCTGTGCCATGCTAGCTGTGTGCGCCAGGCTGTGCCATGCTAGCTGTGTGCGCCAGGCTGTGCCATGCTAGCTGTGTGCGCCAGGCTGTGCCATGCTAGCTGTGTGCGCCAGGCTGTGCCATGCTAGCTGTGTGCGCCAGGCTGTGCCATGCTAGCTGTGTGCGCCAGGCTGTGCCATGCTAGCTGTGTGCGCCAGGCTGTGCCATGCTAGCTGTGTGCGCCAGGCTGTGCCATGCTAGCTGTGTGCGCGCCAGGCTGTGCCATGCTAGCTGTGTGCGTGCCTGGCTGTGCCATGCTAGCTGTGTGCGTGCCAGGCTGTGCCATGCTAGCTGTGTGCGCGCCAGGCTGTGCCATGCTAGCTGTGTGCGCCCCAGGCTGTTCCATGCTAGCTGTGTGCGCGCCAGGCTGTGCCATGCTAGCTGTGTGTGCCATGCTAGCTGTGTGTGCACCAGGCTGTGCCATGCTAGCTGTGTGTGCGCCAGGCTGTGCCATGCTAGCTGTGTGTGCCATGCTAGCTGTGTGCGCCAGGCTGTGCCATGCTAGCTGTGTGTGCGCCAGGCTGTGCCATGCTAGCTGTGTGTGCCATGCTAGCTGTGTGTGCGCTAGGCTGTGCCATGCTAGCTCTGTGCGCTAGGCTGTGCCATGCTAGCTCTGTGCGCTAGGCTGTGCCATGCTAGCTCTGTGCGCTAGGCTGTGCCATGCTAGCTCTGTGCGCTAGGCTGTGCCATGCTAGCTCTGTGCGCTAGGCTGTGCCATGCTAGCTCTGTGCGCCAGGCTGTGCCATGCTAGCTCTGTGTGACATGCTAGCTGTGTGTCTCGGGCTGTGCCATGCTAGCTCTGTGCGCCAGGCTGTGCCATGCTAGCTGTGTGTGACATGCTAGCTGTGTGTCTCGGGTTGTGCCATGCTAGCTCTGGGTCTCTGGCTGCGCCGTGCTGTGCCAGTCTGCCCATGGAGGCTGTGCATAATGATTATAATGAGGTTGCCCATTGCAGTAAATGTGATCAGGTTGTGTTCTGGGCAGATAGAGCTCCTCACTCAGAGTCCCTCAGCTGCTCTCTGACTCACAGCTTCAGCCCCTGGTAAACAAAGGAACTATGTTTTTTCCAAGACTGGGGTCAGCTGTTGTGAAAGGGTCATTATGTAATCTGGAACTATCACAGTCAGGGTAGGAGCCTTTACACTGTGCTGGCTAATCTGCAATGGACAACCTCATTATAATCGTTGTAATCATTATGTGCTAAACACAAGTGTACACACTAGCAAGCCATAAGACTTTCTTATCCCACAGAAATCTAACTTTAACAGTGCTCTCACTGCTGCAAGGGATTCTGGGTAGGCATATGCAAATGAGCTTGACAAAGAAACACATTTTTGCCTTATAAATAAATATTATATCTCTAGATTTGTATTTGTATTTCTCATTGAAATACATTTTGTCAGAGATAAATGCTTTGTATGGTTTGAAAGATCATGTTGGGATGCTGAATTATGTTGGATAGGTTAAATGATTAACCCAGTTTAAAAGTTATTTACAGCTCAGACGTGTAAATTATGCTTCACTTTTTCCCTTCATTAATAGGACACTCCACTGTCCAAATCTGAAAAAATGAAAATCACTGTTTATTAGATCTACCCCATTAAAGATATGCATGACTTTAATTATGCATTTTCCATTGAGGTATAAAAACATTGTGGAAAATGCATCTCAATGAGAAGTCTTTGCTTGGCACTCTGAGCAGTTGCTGCGTCTTAAGGTTAGCTCCACGGAGCTAACCAAACTAGGAAGTTACATGACCAGTTGTTTGACAACCACCGGGGTGTAACATGGTTTATTTATAAAAGTCATTATTTCTATTTAAAGGAACACTATAGGGTCAGGAACACAAACATGCATTCCTTACCCTACTGTGTTACAACTACCAATGAGTCCACCCCCGCCCTCCTAAATATAGTAAAATCTTACTTTAATTCAAGTCTGCAGCTGCTAGCTCTGCCCCTAATCTGCCTGCTTGGCAGACATCATCAGAAGTGATTCTCTAAACCAATCACAATGCTTTCACATTGGATTGGCTGAGACTGTCAAGGAGACAGATCGGGGCAGAGCCAGCTCAAGCCAAACACAGCACTGGCCAATCAGCATCTCCTCATAGAGATACATTGAATTAATGTATTTCTACATAGGTGTGCGCAGCCTATTGCATTAGGGTGTGCACCCTAAAGCACAAACACACACCGCGTGTATATGTATGTATGCGTGTATATGTGTGTATGTATGTATGTATGTGTGTGTGTGTGTATATATATAAATAATGTGTGTATGTGTGCTGTGTGTGTGAGGGTGCTGTATGTTTCTAGGGATTGTGGGGGTGGAGATGGGGGCAAATTATTAAATAGCCCCCCTTCCTTCTTACCTTATGTAGGGAGCGGGGGATCCTTCCTTGCTGCCTTGTTTCCTTGCTGCCTGGTGGTCCAGTGGAGAATGAACGCTAGCCTGCGGGGCTAGCGTTCACTCTCGCGAGATCTAAGCGTTGCCGCGGCAATGCTCAGATCTCGCAAGAGGAATCCGGCGGAGCTGCTGGCTAGAGCTCCCCGGGTCCTCTCTTGCCTCCCTCCATGCTGCTGTGGGCCGGTGAGGGAGATCTTTGAGAGGGAGATCCAGCACTCGGATAGCACGGGCTCTGCATGAGCAGACACGGGAGATCTCCCCTGCTGGTCTCAATCCATAGGCGTGCCGGGGGGATTAGGGTGTGCCCAGACACACCCCGTGCGCAGGCCTATGCATTTCTATGAGGTACGTTCAGTGTCTCCATGCAGAGGGTTCCCCAGTAAGCATCCCCAGTAGGCAACTGAGGCATGGCTACTGGAGGTATCCCTAGGCTGTAATAATGTAGACACTGCATTTTCTCTGAAAAGACAGTGTTTACAGCAAAAAGCCTGAAGGGAATAATTTTACTCACCAGAACAAATACAGTAAGCTGTAGTTCTGGTGATTATAGTGTCCCTTTAAGCCTGTACTTTTTGTAAAATAAAAAGATGGGGACACACTATTCATACATAAAGATCTTTTTCAGAAAGCTGAAGTGTTTTTGAGATCCAGAGTGTCCCTCTAACTGTAACTCTGCCAATAGAAGAGTACCAAATTAACACACATCTCTTATACTGGATCTCTGTAATTGTACTTATTAAAAATGTTCATCATTGCTGGGCAAACCTCAGTTGTCACATGTTTTCCCTTTTTGAACCTATCCCTAGACTTTTCATTAGTGTGTCAGATTTTGCCATTGCTGCTAAGCAACCTAAAAAATGCTAAATGGAGACTTACACCGTCAGCTGCAAGGTTCTCTTGTTTAGTTGCTAAGATGCTCCCTAGCCACCTGAGAAAGAAACACATCTGCCTTGTTTTCATAATGAGTGGCTTTACCATCATGTCCCATGCCGGGTAAGCTAAAATGTGTTGTAATCTGAATTGCTTTGGTAAAACAACACATTAAACATGTAAACAGTTTTCAGTGCTCAATGTGAGTACATTTTTTATTTTTTGATTTTACCCTTAATAATACCGGGTGCAAAGTTTCAGCAAATCATTTTTGCCTTATCATAAAATAGGCAGTAAAAAGCAAGTTACACTTCACATTTTTAGTAGTGCGGATTAGTGTACGATCAGACAAGAATGCACTCGGTTACTGCTTCTTGAGTACTACAAGGAATTTTAAGTTTGTTGTTGTGTAATATCTATAGAGGGTGTGTTAGAAAGTGCAGGATGAGGTCTGGCAACTTACAAAAATAAAGGTTGACGTTTGGCCTCTGGTTAGCCCAATAAGAGAGAACGTCAGTCTGTCAGAAATATAGATTGGTGATCAGCCAAGATGTACAACAGTGTTCCCATTGATTATTCTCTTCTGTAGTAAATAATGTGGTTGCTATGTGCTAGCACTTCATTAACCCCTTAAGGACACATGACACGTGTGACATGTCATGATTCCCTTTTTATTCCAGAAGTTTGGTCCTTAAAGGGTTAAAAGTTTTAGTTCAGACACCTTATGCAATCTCAAAAGTGGCAACAAATAGCACACCTAGAATAGCTGAATTGGTAAAACTCACAGACAAGAGTAAACCATTCCAGTGTAGGCATAAACCATCAATAATTAAATCAGGATGTCCCAACTATGACCCCGATTCTATAATATCGGTAAAACCCAGTTACAAATTATCGCTTGGATTTGGCCAATATTTTTGTAATGAATTTTGACTGGATTCAATACCAGCTGAAATTCTAGCAGCCAACCTCAATAAACGGGTCAACTGCTTCCGAAAAACATTTCAGACTTGAATGACTAACCCATGCCATGAGTGGAGGTATTTCCACTGAACCAGTGAGCAGTATTAATTGGAAACGCCATTGACCTGATAAATTATTTTTTTTAGTTTTTTATTATTATTATTATTATTACTTTTACTTACTACCTATGTTTAAAAAATGTGATTGTTGGGTGTAAAATTATTCAAATGTAGAAATCCACACCACTGTATCTCTGTCTTGGAATGGAGTTCTTGCATCTTGCCTCTCTATCAGTCATTGCTAGAAGCTCCTCCTTTTACTTTCGCCAGTCAGTATAGAAGGTAGAAATTGAATTCCTACTCCAATGCAGTGTGCTTGATTGTGCCAGGAGTACGGCTGCATTTTCATAATCGATTAATTTGCTGATTTATTTATTTTTATTTTTTTCCTGATTAATCAGATTTAATAAATTGAATTTGTATTTAAAGATGCTAGTCTGTGTCCATTATTCCTCTGACAGACCATTAATGGCTAGTTTGCTAGAATTACGGACACAAGACTGGAAACAGAGACCCCCAAATTGCGAGAATGTGTCCGTTTTGCCATCATTGTATAGAACTGCTTTGTTGCCCATTTTTCTAAAATTGTGAGAAGGAAAACATGAAAGCTGGGGTTCAAAGATATAGATCTAGTTTTCCCTCCTCTATCTTCTCACACATTCAATCTACTTGTCTTGACACAAAATAATTTCAGATTCAAAAGTTTGGCCCCAACTCTTTGCAATATTATAATGGGGGATATTTAACAATAAATGAGACAATTGAAAAATGGTACAGGAATAATAGGTAGATGACAACCCTGCTCAAAACAAGCTTACAATCTAGAGTAGTGAAGTATAAATCCACAATAGAAAGGGCATCAAGGGGGACAGCAAACAAACAAGGTGGAAAAGTAATAGAACTGGACGTTAGTGGATTTTGGCCCTCTAGGTGAGAGCCAAAGACAGATTGTGACCTAGAAGTTAGTCTGGTAGGCCATAAGCAATTCTAAACAGATGGGTTTTGAGAGACTTCTTAAATGATTGAAGACTAGGGGTGAGTCTGATGGTGGTAGGCAGGGTGTTCCAAAAGAAAATAATGCTCTGTGAAAAGTACTGCAAGCTTGTGTTAGCAATGAGGGTGCAAGCAACTGACAGAAGGTCACTGACAGAGCAGAGAGACTGAGAAGGGGCTAGAGTTGTTTAGAACTTTATAGGTAAGGGTTAGTATTTTTAATTGACACCGATAGGAAGCCTGTGTAAGTTTTAACAGAAGACGAGGTATGAGAGGAGAGAGAGATCAGCCTGGCGGCAACATTAATTACTGGTTGTAGTGGGGCAGTACTGCTATTGGGGAGACCAATTAGGAGAGAATTACAGTAATCCATGCGAGAGATTACTAGAGCATGAACAAACTCCTTGGCAGCATCTTGCGTAAAAAGGGGCAGAAGCAGGCAAAAAATTTTTAAGGTGGAAGCGACAGGTTTTAGCAAAAGACAAGATATGAGAGGCAAAGGTGAGGCCAGGATCAAAGATAACACCAACAGAGTGTGGTGCCTGTCTTGGGTACTACCATAGCATGTTTATGGTAAGCAGGGACAACACCAGAACAAAGCTCTGATAAGGTCAGAAGAAACAGGATCAGGTGCACAAGTGGTGGGACGAGAGGAGAGGAGAAGTGCAGCCACCTTCTGTGCAGTAGCTGGGGAGAAGGCTTAAAGCATAGGTCCCCAAACTCCGGCCCCCCAGATGTTGCTGAACTGCAACTCCCATGATTCTCTGACTAGCTATTTAATTCAAAGAATCATGGGAATGTAGTTCAGCAACATCTGGGGGGCTGGAGTTTGAGGACCCATGGCTTAAAGGGTAGGGAAGATATGGTCCAGGTGCTGGAGAGAGAGAGGATCAAAGGGGGGGGGGGGAGAAATCTTTGCTTAAATGTTTAATCTTGTCAGTAAAGTAGCATTCAAAACTCTTGGCTACCATGCTTAAACCATCACATTGGTTATTCACTATGCACTCTGAATTTACCTAAATGAAATCTGACTAGCAAACCAGAGATAAAAATGGCCATTCTTGGAAACTTCTCATCTCGGATGGCAAAACAGAGGTCAAATTTGTAGTGTAACATCTTGGCCTATGCCCTCCCCTATAATGTGTTTGTATGGTGGCTAGCTGTAATGTGTGTGTGTGTGTGTGTTTTTGTTGGGTGTAATGTGTATGTGTTGGCTATATGTGTGTCTGTGGGGTGTGCTGGCTGTACGTTGTGTGTGTGTGTGTATGTGCTGGCTATATAATATTTATTGTAATGTTGCTGTGACCTCCACTTTATAGGGTTTAGTGGGGGTCCTGGATCCTTGGTGGTTCAGTGCTGGGTCCAGGATCCTTGTTGGACTAGTGTGGGAGTATAAGATTTTCACCCTCGGTGAGTGCACACATCAGAAATAACTCTTTGTGATCTGGCACGTAGTGAATGCTGGAAATCACAGAGGCTTCTCTCTGACTCACTAGAGCAGTGGTTTCCATACCAGTCCTCAAGGCACGCATTCCAGTCCAGGATTTAGGGATTTCCCAGTTGTCTATTGTGTTTTTAGGAAGAAAGAAAAAAAAACACCTTGACACAAGTGGGTAATCCTTAAATCTTGGACTGGGAGGTGTGCCTTGAGGACTGGTTTGGAAACTACTGCACTATGGATTGCCATACCTGATATGTACACCCATGGAGGTGTACACCCATTTATCCACAGCAGGGCTAATATTTATAAAAAGGCCTCCTACCTGGCGCCCAGAACTACAAGTACTTGGCATCAGACTATACTATTCTTCATGGTACAAACGATTGAGCACTGTGACAAACTCCCCTTTTCCTGTGAGTTTGCCACGAGTTTTTGGAGGGGCTTGTTTGCCAGCCTCTTGACCCAGGACTATGGCCCATGTATTAGACCTGGCTTCAGCACTGTGGACAGGCTTTGTTCATGCCTTTTCCCCTCGGCGGTTCGGTATATGGGGCTACCGAATGGATTCTACTTATGGTGTTCATTTACCGAACAGTCGGACCACACACACAAGTGGAGTGTGCAGCCCATTTACCCCCCAGGCTGGGAGTTAACCACAGCCAAATTGAAGAACAGCTGGGTGGTCTCCGTTCGTATAGTCGAAAACGTGGCTGCAGCCATCTTGTTTAATCAAACGCGGTCGAGTTCAATGATGCATACTGTATTTAGCTTACAAGTGAAATTTACTCCTAAATCCTTTTATTCAATACAACTTTAAATCATATGTAAATGCAAAACCAAACAAAAGAAAATCAAAGCACGTGTACAAATGTAATTACCACCAATAATCCAGCCTAACACGAGTCACCAATCCTCCTACGTTTCGGAAACTCTCCTGCTGCCTTTCTCAAGGGTGTCTGTGAAATCAGCACTGCAGAGCCCTTTAACTTCATTAATAATACAGCAAGTTCTAGGCTGTGGGCTTGTAAAGGGAGATACAACAGGATATGAATAGGTGTCAGGCTCTCCCTGCATGTTCTCAGTCAATTGTGATTGGTGTTGGACCTTGCCAGCTAGCTAGCACTGATCACAGTGTCACTAGACGGCAGTCATAGACCATTATCTACTGTTTTAATTAGAAAACCCATCTTCTGATGTCAGAATTGATATTGGTTTTCCTTGGGGTTAGGTTAGAGTTATCTTTAAGGTTCAATGTAGGGTTAGAGCTAGTGTCCGGGTGGGGTTAGGTAAGGATTAATTCTGCTTTAGGGTTAAGGATAGTGTAGGCTTAAGGGTAATATTAAGGTAGGTACACGGTTAGCATTGGAATAAGCATTGTGTAAGGGGTATGGTTGGCATAGCATTATTGGTATATTATTAGCCAAAAAATATTCTAAATATATTAGGGCACTTAAAAATCAGGGCTAATATATGAATCTATTTTGAGTTGTTTTTATTTAATTGCACTGCATGTGTAAAATGACACCCCACGCCCACACATTTTTATTCACACATAATGTTGTGTTGGGTATACATATAGGATATTAAATTCAAGCCGTGGCTGTCCTTTAGAAAACAATGTATAATCTTTTTGGGTGCACTTAAAGAGAAACCCTCAAATTGTGGTGGAACAAACACAAATCACTAATTCTTGGTTTTGTTTTAGTTCAGAACTTGGATAATTTCTTCTGACCTTTTAAAGGGACATTATACTCACTAGAAAAACTACAGAAAAATAGAAAATATACTGGATAGCGCACTAAAAATCCAGAAATGTGTATTACAGTGTTTATACACAAATTTAGAATGAGAAAGGTATATACCAGAACATACTATACAGAAGATCTTTGTCCAGTTGCCCCTGAAAACATAAAGCTCACATAGGGCAATATAGTACTGGTAAATATCCCAATTTTCAAATCTGTGTATATATAAGTAGTAGAAAATTCTACTCACATTTTAATGAGCCTGTGTTCAAACTGGCTCAAGTATATAAGCATGAGTAGGATATGTGGATTAGATTTCTTCAATTGATGTATTCCTCCCCAGTGTATATGAATGTTGAGGAGCAAAAATAGATGTTAGAAAAAATTGTAACATTTATTATAAAAAACAAATGGTAAAATCTTACATTCAAGAAGCATAAGGTCAGCATAGATCAGCACAACGCGTTTCGGCTAAAGGCCTTCATCAGGTGCATACAATTACTATTTGTTTTTTATAATAAATGTTACAATTTTTTCTAACTTCTATTTTTGCTGATTTTATTTTAGTGCGCTATCCACTTTATTTTCTGTTTTCCTGTTTTTTGCTTGTTTGTGAAATTGTGTGGTTGATTTCACTGTGGGTTTAGCAGCACACTATAGCGCCGTATTACCACCACTCTCTTTTTGTTACTAGAAAAACGACAGCTTAACCCCTTAAGGACACATGACGTGTAACATGTCATGATTCCCTTTTATTCCAGAAGTTTGGTCCTTAAGGGGTTAAAGGGACACTATAGTCACCAGAACAACTACAGCTTATTGAATTTGTTGTGGTGAGTAGAATAATTACCTTCAGTTTTTTTGCTGTAAACACTGTCTTTTCAGAGAAAATGCAATGTTTACATTACAGCCTAGTGATAACATCACTGGCCACTCCTCAGATGGCTGTTCGAATGCAACCAAATATTCAGTATCTCCTCCCTCTGCATGCAGACACTGAACTTTCCTCGTAGAGATTCATTGATTCAGTTCATCTCTATGAGGAGATGTTGATTGGCCAGAGCTGTGTGAATTGTGCTGGCTCTGCCTCTGATCTGCCTCCTTGGCAGTCTCAGCCAATCCTATGGGGAAGCATTGTGATTGGATCAGGCTACCACTTCTGATGATGTCAGAGGAAGTTCACAGGCAGCAGCTTCAGACTTGAATACAAGTAAGATTTGACTAGCTTTAGGGAGGCCAAGGGGGCTAGATAGTGGTTTTTAACACTATAGGGTCAGGAATAAATTTGTGTTCCCGACCCTATAGTGCTCCTTTAATATAGTTGTTCTGGTGTGTATAGTATGTTTCTGCAGGCTTTTTCTATGTAAGCAAAGAAACTATAATATTTTCTTCTTTGTTTTACAGAAATTAGTAAAATGTGGCAGAGTGTGGGATTAACTTTTCTGGTCTTTGTAGCCACTCTAATCTGTGTCCTGCTGTTCATGTTGTGCGGTGAGTAACTGTTCATTATTCTATTTTTCAATTTACAAGATTGTAGATTAGATGGGCGGCCATAGTACACTGCATGTTTAAGAGAACACTCAAAGCACCATAAACACTACAGTGTATTCTAGTACCCCAGTTGTACCATGATGCCCCTATAGTATGTTTTCAAACCATTTAGTCACAGTAGGACTTCTAATTTGTGAAACGCTGGGCGCTGCTCCACGCCTCCACTGGCATTGCAAAGTCTAACTCAGGAGAGCTAACGTTTAAAAATGGTTTGATTGCTTACATTGGGGGGCAGCCTGGGCACACCTGGTACCATAACTTGTCATAGTGCTTGGAGTTTTTCTTTAAATGTTTGTAGTAGGGATCGACCGATTATCGGTTTTACCGATATTCATTATTTTCGGCAATATCAGTATCAGCCAATAGAGATACCGATATTGCCGATAATACCTCCTAGGACCGCCGGGCTCATTACAACCCCGGCGATCCTGGGGGCCCGCATCAAGCTTTTACTTACCTTCCCAGCAGCTCCCTGTGTAAATCTCGCGAGTCCCGCGGCTGGCAGAGTGTTGCCACGGGTTACCATTGCGACGCTTTGCGCGGCACGCTGGCAGCGAGATTTACACAGGGAGCTGCTGGGAAGGTAACAGCTTGCTGGCTCCCCACTGCTCAGTACATGCCACTGGACCACCATGGAATGCCATATCCCCCCTCCCTGGCCAGGTAATAAGCAGGGAGGGGGGACAAAAAAAACCACAAAAAGCGTATATTAAAAATAAAATTTAAAATAATTTTACACAAATTACATCCCTTCAGAAACACACACACTCCGCATTATACACACACTCTGCATTCATTATATACACAACTATACAAACACACGCTCTAAATCATATACACACACTACACAAACACACACACACACACTTCATTCATTATATACAGACACTATACACACACAGCATTCACTTTACGCACACTACACACACACTCTTCATTATATACAGACACTACACAAGCACACTGCATTGACTTTACGCACACTGCATTGACTTTACGCACACTGCATTGACTTTACGCACACTGCATTGACTTTACGCACACTGCATTGACTTTACGCACACTGCATTGACTTTACGCACACTGCATTGACTTTACGCACACTGCATTGACTTTACGCACACTGCATTCACTTTACGCACACTGCATTCACTTTACGCACACCGCATTCACTTTACGCACACCGCATTCACTTTACGCACACCGCATTCACTTTACGCACACCGCATTCACTTTACGCACACCGCATTCACTTTACGCACACCGCATTCACTTTACGCACACCACACACTACAATCACTATACACTACACAAACACACCCTGCATTCATTATATACACACTACACAAATACACACTGCATCCACCAGACAAACACACACGGCAATAATTGTTCATATTTCATCTCTTAGAAAGAAAACCTGCATTCCTGACAATGTAGTGCCCTATTTGCAGATTTTTATTCCAGCGCCATGAGGCATACCTTCACTGCCCTGCCTTCTGCATTGTCCTCCTTCTGTCAAGCTGATGGCCAATGTGCACTGCACACGACCAAATGCTTATCATGCTTCCTTATGAGCTTTCACATCACCGAGTTTTATTTGGCCAGCGGAGAGGAAGCACCCATTACTGATGGCCACTACAGGTGGATTTAGCCATGCAATGTAAACTTCTAAAAAAGGGGAAACAAAATCAATATTTTAAATAGGATCAAAACTAAAGGACCGTTGTACCCAGACCACCTCATTGAGATGAAATGATCTGGGCGATTTTAATGGTCTTTTACTTCCCCACTAAGATAGTGTATGTGGATTAACCTCTTATTGTCATTGGGACATGCTATCCCTACAAAATAGCTTTAATGCTGTTAGGGCACCACTTTCCGGATCTGCAGACAATCCTGCCAATCCGAGCCATGTGATTGCAATGACACCGTGATCACATGATTCTGATCGATGTAAATGACCGACTGACTAGATTGTCAGGCAGATTACCCAATATATAACCAATGAAATAACATAATTATGTGAAAATGGTATATAAATACATTTAGAATGATATTTAGTATATATACTAAGCATAGGCGTGCGCAGCCTATTGCATTAGGGTGTGCACCCTAAAGCACAAGCCGCATATATATGTATGTATGTGTGTGTATGTATGTATGTATGTATGTATATATGTGTGTGTGTGTGTGTGTGTGTGTGTGTATGTGTGTGTATGTATATATATATATATATATATATATATATATATATATATATATATACACACATACACACACACTGCTCTGTGTGTGACGGTGCTGGTAGTGTGCTATGTGGGTGAGGGTGTTTGTGTGTGCGTGCTTGTGAGGATGCTGTTAATGTACTGTGTGCTGTGTGTGTGTGTGAGGGTGCTGTTTGTGTGCTGTGTGTGTTTGTAAGGGTGCTGTGTATGTCTGTGTGGGTGCTGTGTATGTCTGTGTGGGTGCTGTATGTGTGTGTGCTGTGTATGTCTGTGTGGGTGATTGTGGGGGTGGAGGTGGGGGTACATTAATTGCTATCCCCCCTCCCTTCTTACCTTTTGTAGGGAGGGGGGATCGTGCTGCTGATTCCATCCCTGGTGGTCCAGTGGAGAGTGAACTCTAGCCCCCTGTGGGGCTCGAGTTCACTCTCGCGTGATTTGAGCGTTGCCGTGGCAACGCTCATATCTCGCGAGAGGAACCCGGCGGAGCTGCCGGCAATAGCTCCGCCGGTCCTCTCCTGCCTCCCTCCCTGCATGTGGGTCAGTGGGGAGGGAGGCTGAGAGCAGAGCCGGTGCTCGGGTAGCGCCGGCTCTGCATGAGCCAGCAGGGGAGATCCTGAGATCTCCCTTGCCGGTCTCACTGCTAGGCGTGCCACGGGGATTAGGGTGTGCCCAGGCACACCCGGCACACCCCGTGCGCACGCCTATGATGCTAAGTGCACAAAACAAAAAAATAATTAAAGGGACACTATAGTCACCAAAACAACTTTAGCTTAATGAAACAGTTTTGGTGCATAGATCATGCACCTGCAATCTTAATGCTCAATTATCTGCCATTTCGGAGTTAAATCACTTTGTTTATGAATCCTAGTCACACCTCCCTGCATGTGACTTGTACAGCCTTCCTAAACACTTCCTGTAAAGAGTCAGCTAATGTTTATCCTTCCTTTATTGCAAGTTCTATTTAATTTAGATTTTCTTATCCCCTGCTATATTAATAGCTTGCTAGACCCTGCAATAGCCTCCTGTATGTGATTAATGTTCAATTTACAGAGAAAGAGATACAATTGTTTAAGGTAAATTACATCTGATTGAAAGTGAAACCAGTTTTTATTCATGCAGGCTGTGTCAGTCAGAGCCAGGGGAGGCGTGGCAAGGGCTGCATAAACAGAAACAAAGTGATTTAACTCCTAAATGGCAGTGAATTGAGCAGTGAAACCTGAGAGGCATGATCTACACACTAAAACTGCTACAGTTGTTAAAGTTGTTTAGGTGACTATAGTGTTCCTTTAAGGTTTGCTCTTCCACCACCACGCATCAAAACAGCAGCAATTAAAGGGGCACTCTCAACATCATAACCATTGCAGCTCACTGTCAGATGTTCCCTGGCATTTTTCAATGATTATCTGGGTTGCCATGGTGCCTGTGGTATGGCTTTGTTTTGGATGGCACTTTAATGATTATGGTGATTAGTTGCATTTGGAGTATGTGTTAACATGATTTGCATGACCGCCTTTTTGTTTGGTTCTTAAGTGTAGACAGCAAGAGATCTAACAAGCAATAAGTTTATGTTCTAATACAGGGATTACCAACCTCCACCATTCCAGATCCGTGGCTTGCATATCTGGATGCTTGCACAGCATCTGGAATGGTAAATGTTAGCAACCACTACTCTAATAAACGTGAAGGATATTATACTTTAAAAAAAAAAAAAAATATATAAATTTGCTGTTGTTTTTAGGGTGGTACGTGGTATGGCATCTCTTCCTGTCCAAATTTAAATTCCTACGAGAACTTGTCTGCGACAGCGGCTCTTTACAGGGAGAAGGGGAGTCCACAGAACCACTCGCAGAGCCTGACGCTCCACCTACACCTCAGCGATCAAGACCCAAGTCCGCACGACAAAGGAGAGTTTTAGAAGAGGCGACCTAAAGCCAGTTGCATTGCTTGGAATTCATCCTTGAAGATATCACACCCCATATTTTCAGCATCTGCACTAGGAATCAACACTATAATTTAATGGATATACTGGCTGTGAGAAAAGGTGATAGGGGAATAGAATGGATACATAGATCTTACCATGGCACTGCTTTTATTGTACTTTAAAAATCTATTTGCTGTTTCTTCACTGGCTAGGAAGCAATAATTGCATGGCATCTGAATGAAAATGGAGCAAAAATCATCTTGTAATCTGCATCCAGTAGAGTCTGAATTTAGTGGCTTCAGAAAAACAGCGATTGTACTTTTAAACTCTGCTCAAATGGGGATGGGGGAATTATTCCCTTTCATTCTAGAAAGCCTCTCTGACCATAAATACAGATCTTGGTGTGAGGTAACATGCTAAATTAGACCATACCAAGGCTCTGTTATTGTCTACCATCTATGAATTGAAATACTTGCCATGGACTTCTTGTATCTGCCTCCAGAATGCCTTTTTCAAGGCAGCAGCCTTACCTCCTAAATCATTACACTTATCACCATCCTATATGAATGAGTGTGCTTTACTTATTAGACTACTCAGACATTACCAGTCTATTTTAATTTACAGGAGGAAAATTATATCTTCGTTAAAATATTTATACATATATATCTAAAGTAATGTTTTTTTTCTAACATTTATGTTACTGTTTTACAAGCAGAAGATATCTCCTCTGCTCAGCCTCAAGGAAATATCTTTCTTGCCTTGTTCCCGGGCTTAATTGCTCTTTAGTGGCTGTGTCAGATCGCACTGTGGACGTCACACATTGAAGTATCTAAAGAGGATTGTTTTATCCTGCAGACTCAAGGTACTTGGTAGCAGTCCTCTTCTGTGCTTCGTTATTTGGTCCTATTTTAGATCTTAGATTGTCGTTCGCTAGTGACTAAGAAAAGTGTTACTTTTTATACTGTTTACTTTATTACTTTTTCGTTGCCTGCATTAGTTATCAGACGTTTCACACATATCTACATATCTAAGTTAAAATGATCATGCTACCTTTGTTTGACAAGCAGTTTCATTTTTATCTCTTACATTATGTAGATTAGAAGAGTATTTTTTTAATTTTTTTTTTACAAATAACATTTTAGTTAGATTTTTTTTTTTTTTTTTTTTTACTGGGGAACTAACCAAATTCTTTAAGTTTTTGTAAACATTTGTAACCCACAATTTGCCCACATATTTTGGAAATTTAGTGGTTAGTCCTAAATCATGTATTGTCACAACCTGATAGGTAACATAATTTTTTTGGCCAAAATTATATGTTGCTTTGTCTGGCAACATTCTTTGATCAAAGCCCTATTGTCAGCTCACTATTAAGTTTATTAATCTCCTGAATTCCATAATTAGCAATGACACTTAACAAATATATCGTTACATCAGGGGTTATATTATTATTTTTGTAAATATCTTGATTTAGAATATTTTTAAGGGCCACTTATCATTTATTAGTGCTATAGTAAATTTTGGTATGTAGACTGTAGAAGCTGTATTCCTAACACTATAGTGTCCCTCTGCCCCACACATGGCAGTTAAATAGTTAAAAAAAAAATTACATTCTTAGTTACCTTATCACAGTGCCGAAGTCCCTCGGCTCTAACTCCAGATCCGCCTCCTCTGACGTCAGCTCCAAGGTGGAATTTAATGCACATGTGGGCGCATTTGGCCTTCTCCATCGGAAGGCATTAAATCAATGTTTTTCTCTGGGGGGGTTTGATAACTCTGAACAGCACGAGGATGTCCAATGTAATATCACTGAGTCAAACTCCGTGAAACAGCTGGAAGCGCCTTTATTGGCTGTCTGGTAGGCAGCCTTTAGAGACAGTCTTAGCACTACAATCTAAAAATTCCCAGATTTTACTATTAACATGACATAAAGTCATGATTTTATTAATGACACGGAGGCTACTATTATGCTTTCTCTTTCCTTTTAATTTCCCTCAGCAGCAAAGAGAGAGATGTATACAGAAGAGAAAAATAAACATAACCTTGCATAGTAACAGTGTAACCAATGAGCACTCAACAACTAGTATATAATGTGTAGCACTCCACAACTCTTCCTCTTTCCCTAACGATCCGAATACCAGCAGAAACCGAAAACTGTAGAACCGAATTGAACTGTAAAAACTGGATAGCAGACGTATGTCCTCCTTCCGTGGGATAACAATATAACCCCCTCTCAAAGCTTCTGAACGTTGGCGTAAGAAAATAGGGTATGTGTGTGTGTGCGTGTGCATATATATATATATATATCTCTCAATATGTGATGTATTTTCACGAAAACAATTCAAAATTAATCATATAACATTGCAAACCAAATGTCCTTTACCTGAGATTCATGTCATGAACCTATTACTTGTACTTACCAACACAGACCTAATACCGTATATACTCGAGTATAAGTTGAGTTTTTCAGCACATTTTTTGTGCTGAAAAACCTCCACTCGACTTATACTCGAGTCACTGTCTCTGTATTATGGCAACTTACATTGCCATAATACAGACCAGGACCGCCGGGCTCATTACAAGCCCGGCGGTCCTGTTGGGGGCTGGCAGAGAGCTGTTACTTACCTTTCCTGCAGCTCCTGTCATCTCCCTTCTTTCTCCTCCGTTCCGGTCAGCTCCACTGTAAGACTCGCGAGAGCCGCAGGGAACGCTCCGCGCGGCCGCGAGACTTACAGTGGAGGAGAAGGGAGCTGACCGGACCTGAGGAGAGAGAAGGGAGCTGACAGGAGCTGCAGGAAAGGTAAGTAACAGCTCTCTGCCAGCCCCCCTCCTACACAGTGCACACCACTGGACCACCAGGGAATGAGAGCCCCCCTTCCTGGCCAGCTAACAAGCAGGGAGGGGGGACGAAAAAAAATATAAATAACATTTTTTATAATATTAAAATAAAAAAAATATTAATAATTAAAAAACAATTATAAGAATGCCCACCCCCCCACCAAGGCTCTGCATCATATACACAAACACTGCATTATATACACACACACACTGCATTCATTATATACACACACTGTAAATAAATATTCAATTAAAATAATTTTTTGAGGATCTAATTTTATTTAGAAATTTGCCAGTAGCTGCTGCATTTCCCACCCTAGTCTTATACTCGAGTCAATAAGTTTTCCCAGTTTTGGGGGGTAAAATTAGGGGTCTCGACTTATATTCGGGTCGACTTATACTCGAGTATATATGTTATATATGTTGTCGTTCAGTAAAAATCATCCCAATGTCCCAACCCGAGGGAGGGTGGGAATAATACTCTCCTCTGTGTCATTAATAAAATCATGACTTTACGGCATTTTAATAGTAAAATCTGGGAATTTTATTAAAGACACAGAGGCTCCTATTATGCTATTTTAAAGCCGAACCACAACTAACTCTGAGAAGCGTTGAATAGGTCTGAAGTAGTAATTTGGGAAAGTGGATTCCGTAGACCAATCTGCAGCCCTCAAAATGTCTTCTAATCTAGAACCTATAGTCGACGCTTTCAAGGCCATAGCGCCTCTGACTGAATGAGAGGAGAAAATTGTGGTATCAATTCCGGCTGAAGTTAACAGCCATTTGGCCCAGCGAGCCATAGTACGTGTAGACACCGGTAGGTGAGGTCTCTTGAATGAGATGAATAATGGGCTGTCCTGTGATAGACACAATGGAGTTGTGCGCAATTCATATTCCTTCAGACATGCAATCGGGCACAGGTTCGGTTTCCATCGGAATTGTAGCAGGTCCCTGTTTCCTCTGCCACGGGAATTGTCAGGTACGCATCTTTCGGGTTGAGTTTGACCAATCCGCAGGTGGTAGCAGGACTCTGAAGCAGTGAATGCCTTCCATATTGAAATGCTGATATTGGACAAAGGCCGACTGGTCAGACGACTCATTCCTTTTTTGGGACAAGAAAGAGGTTGCTCAGGACCCCCAAGACAGGCTCCTGTCTTACCTCTCTTCGGCATCAGCTGACAACTTGCCTGAGCTTCACTCTGATCCGACCACGGCAGATGCATTCTCACAACACATCATATTGGACAGTCTGTGATTATTGTGATCTCTATCCGTGAGCTTACCATTCTCTTCTTCTTTACCCTCTTGAGAGCTGCAGCGTGCCACTAGGCTCCGGTGGTATCACAGCTACTCTGTCTCATCTATAACATGTCATGTTTGTCTCACCTGTACCCACCATGTCTAGCACTTATTACCTGACAGCAACACTACTTATGTTACACAACCAGTCCTTGATTGTCCATACATAATGCATGCCCATGCTTTGCACTTCAGTTACAACATTTGTTTATTTTGTATTTTCTAAAATTGTGCCAGTACATTCATTGTCACAACAATGTATTACCGTGTTTATTACCAAATGCTTGCCATGGCTGTTGGGGCTTTGCAAGCCTGTTTTTATTCTATTGCATACAATAAAATAGGTTGCTCACAAACCCTGGCATATCCCAAGGGATTTCCTCTCTATAGTTCTTTGCCCTCAATTCCTTGATCTCCATGGAGATTAGATCGTGATGCTCTGTGGACATCATGAGCACCCGAAGCGGGGTGTCCTGTATGTGTAAAGCGGTTAATTCTAAAGAATACCCCTGGGTAGTGTGTTGTAATCATAGTCCAAGCTTGGTGAAACAGAGCTAGTCTTCCCCCCCCACCTTTACATGGGAAAATGGGGATTCACAGTACTCACCATAAGGATGTTTTCCCGGGGTCACTCCCCGACCACTGCTGGCATTCCAAGAACATCCTCTATTTGGGAAGAAAAGGTTGAAGGTGCGTTTTTGCACTGGTCTAGGTGTGTGGATGGAGCCTCTGCCTGGTCTGGTAAAGCCCCGGGGGTTGCTCAAGGCAAAAAATCTTTTGGTGAAACACTCTTTTAATGGAGCTCTGCACTTGATCCAGCACTGTGAAGGTTTTAATGTAAGATCTGACAAAGGATTAGCCAAATAATAGGCCTTTAGTGGCTGCCAGGCTCATTGGTAGCCATGCTAGCCAATTTTGGCTCTATTTTGAGCAGGATAGCTTTCCTGCATTCAGTGGATATGGCCGAGTTGGCATTGCCAACCATGCACATCAGGCGTTGCGGCCATCCAAACGTTACGTCATAATCTAGTTGAGCTTCTCCCGATTGTGCTGTTTACAGCAGTTTGTAGAGTTTGGTAATAGGGCCTAATCTGTCCAGGAACTTGTCCTGGCAATTCTGTAAGGTGTAGTCTAGGTCCTTTTTCAGCTTCCAGACAGTTTTTCATCTGTGCATCGACTTCGGGAGTCTTGGTTACCATGTCTGGGATAATGGGCCGGGGGCATTGGCCCTCAGTTTATTACAGCCCTCCTGGGAGAGGGGTTTGTGGTCCCTTAGCGCCAGGTATTGCGCAATATGCTCCGGTGGTTCCCACTCAGTGGAGCGCAGATGGTGTAGGTCATCCGGGTTGAATAATAGTAGTCTTAACGTCCTGGCGGTCATCCGTGTAACTCTGGGCCTATTTAGACGAAGCGGGGGCAAACTTTGTTCTCATCTTCGGAAACCTCGTCCTCATAAGGTCTGAGAGTATCTCGTCTGACCCCTCCTCCTCACTATAGTCAGAGTTGAAAATTATCTCTTGGGCTCTCACCTGTTTCCAATTTCTGTCCACTTTTGCCTGGCCAGTGGCTCTATTGCGCGGTTGTTGCGCGCCATCCTAGACAGTCTTAGGCATGTCATTCAAACCAGGGGTCTCCTGGGTATGTGGATGGGGATCGAGGTGTTTACGTTTGCTCAGGGCCTTGCAGCCCAGCAAGGATACACTGAGCGTTGCAGTGGTTTGTGGAGGATACTGGGTGGCAGGGTGTCCTTGCATCAATGCCTGAATTGGACTGTGTAATCGTGGAGGACGTGACCCCCATGGCTGATGTTAAGGCCTTGTTGGAGTTCGTCATAGTAACATCCAGCAGACTTTAAAATTCCTCTGAGGCCATCGTATTGGCGTCATGTATGGGGTTAGGGGTAGTATTCCCTGTGACATTCAAAGGGTGTGGCCGGCTGGCCCATCACCAGTTAATTGCATATTAAGTCGCAGCCACAGAATCCCCACAGAGGGTGGGAAATAATCAAGTATATGATAAATATATATAACCAGCCTTTTGGGGTTATTTGCTTAATCCAGCCACCCAACTGTTGAGCTAGGAGGAGATAACCTTAAGGCAAAAAAAAATAGAGTGCATTAAAAACGATACAGGGAGTGTGCCAGAGTGATAGGAGCCGTATTCCGCTGGACCGTGCTGAGATTCCTAGTCGTAGGACACACTAAAATAGCCGCCGCCACTGGTGGCGAAGTTGGTTCCAAGAAAATGGCGCAGCAGCAATAGTGAGAGGCATTCAGTACAGTGTTAGCCTCACGGTGAATGCCATGGGCGGTTCGCTGAGATCGGTATTCCGTGGGCGGAGAGGTAACAACGGCTGAGGGTCTCTTAATGCCTTCCCTCGGCTGGCAAAGGGATGCAGAGAGGGAGGCAGGAGAGGGGTCCCCCTAGGGGAAAGAAGTGTGACTGGTCAGTCGCAATACAAACACTCACCGGAGCACACTCCAGAGAATTAAGCAAATATCATACACTCTTAAGCAGATACAAATAATATTCATCAAATGGAATCATACCAAGAGAGTAAAACAGTTCTAGTGTCAAAAGCAGTGTAGAGTGAAACAAATTTACTTAGCTGGTCTGTGGGAGTAGCGAAAAAAGAGAAAGAGTTGTGGAGTGCTACACCTTATATACTGGTTGCTGAGTGCTCATTGGTTACACTGTTACTATGCAATGTTATGTTTATTTTTTCTCTTCTGTATACATCTCTCTCTCTTCGCTGCTGAGGGAAGTTAAAGGAAAGAGATGGCATAATAGGAGCCTCCGTGTCTTTAATAAAATTGCAGGACTAAGGGGAACACTGCATCCAGACCACTTCAATGAGATGAAGTGTTCTGGGTGCCTATAGTGTCCCTTCAAATGTTGGCTTCCATTATCTCTCCACTATGCACTGCTGTTCTTGTTTGCACAGATATAAATGTACAAATGACGACCAGTTACCATACTTAATGTAGAGAGGCACATGTGTAATCGTTTTATATAATTCTAATCTAGTAATTTTACTTTTTTGTCTCTTTTCCAAAGGATCTGATGTCCACTCTTTTTAATTCTCTTTCACACCAGGAACTGGCTAGCATGGTATAGGTGATAATACAAATATTTCTAAAACTTGTGTTCTTAGGAACCTGTACTTTGAAATCTGAAGCATACTCAATGGAGCCAAAAATGTGGTCTTATTTATGGAAACAAAAATTAAGACTGTTTACATAAGCAAGTAAACACAGTGCTGTTTGCTGTTTCCTTTTGCATGCATTTTACAATCGGTGCATCATGTTGGCTGCCTTTCATGTATTTTCTGTTTTTTGTTAGAAGTCAAAGAACAAGGGACTCTGTTAAAATGTGCAAGGACATGCACACTTGACCAGAATTCTGGGTTGGTTGCTAATTTCCTGATGGAGGTGAGGACAATGGAGATGTTGAATCCCTCGATTTACCCCCAAAATCTGAATTAATTTAAGCATTAAGCTAGGGATGCTCTTTCATTGTGAGCTGTCATTAAAAGAAAGTGGTATAGGTTTCTGGAGTGTCGCTTTAAGGAAGACCTATATTTATAAAAAACAAACCAAAAAAAGCATTGTGTACAAGTTGCTCAATTTAAATGGTTACTCCAAGCACCATGACATTTCAATGATTTGAAGTTGTCATGGTGCCTTAAGCCTGTATGTGCAGTGTTTCTCTTTGAAACACTGCAGATAGCACTTAAAATTTCAAGTCTTTTGCTAATAGCCAGGCCTTAATGGTTACTTGTCACTGCAGGCCTGGAGGGTGCGTGACACACCATGGCTAAATTTCTACTTGCCAGTGCTACATTTTCACTTAACTATAGCTAGTGGTGAGTGGAAATTTTGAGCGCACAAAGGTTATTATTTATCTTTACACTGCTGGAGGTGTAACTCCATTTCCGGCCAAGTCATTGGGGTGCTTTGAACTTGCTCGGAACAAGAGTTGTGGACAGGCAAATATCAATTCTCTGCATAGTTCTATGCACAAAATTGCTTTCATTGACTGATAGTGGTCAGCTGACACTGTCAGTCAATGAATGGAATATAAGTAAATATTTATAAATGAATATAAAACTTACTATGACTCCAGCTCTGGGATCCACCTTGACTCACAGTTCAAGTGCTTTTCACCAGCTTAGAGAGCATGCACATACTCTGAGCCGGTGTGAGAAGTGGACAAGGAAGGGAGTGGAGTATTACAAAAATAATATTAATAAAAGTCAGAACAGACCTCTTAATGCTTGGAGGGAGAGTGCATGTAAGGAAGGGAGACTCAACATTCCCTTGCACACACCCAGCACCACATGCAAGGGTGGAAGCTCTCTACTTCTGTTGTGTGCATGCAGACGACAGATGTAATTTTTGCACACCATTGACATTAACAGCCTGTAACGGAGTTCCAGTGCAGTTACAGAAGTGCAAGTATCTCTGAATGTGTAATATTTCTGGCAGGAATGCTGCTGATACTGACTCCTACCACCATGACCACTTCTAGAATCAAATATGGTCATGGAGACTAGAGTAGCCCTATAAGCTCACTCAAATGACTGAAGAATACCTCTAGAGTCTTGCACTAGTTCTAAAAAATTATAGCAAACTAGTATAAAAAATAGCGACATGCATGATAGAAAGTATGGAGTTTCTTAAGTAATCTGGCTAATGAGGACAAATGACAAATAACTTAGCAACAACAGTAAAGAGAGAAAATTGGTGCATCTCTGCCATTTTGTTTTGAAATGTATTTCCCTTTTCTGTTCTTTGCAATCCTGGTTTAGTAATTAAATAACCATGACCATAGTTCTAACTATAATTGGAACTGTATTGTTAAAATATCAGTAATATCCCACTCCAAGAACCAATTGTATATTTATTTTTTACCAGTCCTAACAGAAATGTTAAACACCTTCTCATCCCTTGTTTATCTCAAATTAAAGCGGAAATGGTGAAATGGTTTGACAGCTAACCGTAAACATGCAGATTTGGGGGTTTCCATAAATCCCTAGAGGCTTGTGATCATTTGTACAACAAGCATTTCACATTCTGATTTTCTTTCAAGTGGTGCTTTTATTTTAGGATTTTTTTTTTTACTTTTCCCAGCACCCGCTAGTTGAGAGGCCACTTGCATGTTTGGGACTGGTAAGAGAGGTTTTTCTTTCCTCAGCTCTTTCCAGAGGAAGCTGCAACAAGCCATGTCATATTTGCACTTGCACATTTGCATAATATCTGCTATGGCAGATCCCACAATGCTTCTCTCAATATGCATGTATTGGGCATTGTGAGTTAAAATGCTTGTTTCTGTCTGTTACTGTGAATGACCTCTTATGGGTATTGCAAGTTAATTAGGCAGACGCCAATTAATGCTATGGCGTCTGCCTTATTTTGCCATAAATAAGCCCGTATTAAGTATATATTCTCTACTTTGTCTTAAGATATTTTTTGATTGTGTTTGGATTTTAGAATTTAATTTAACTGTAATTATTCTCTTTATCAACCCCCACCAACCCCCAACACACACACAATATATATTTGCATGTAACTGATTGCATAAAAGGGCATTCCAGTGGGAAAAAAATATCTTTGCTTAAAATTTTTCGTCTTTTAAGTTTTATCTGGGACACAAGTAGAATAGCATTGCATGTACATTGCTTCCTCAATTAGAATCCATAGGAGTCATGGTTTACGTTAAATTGATTAGATCCATGTGCGCCTTTACTGCTCTTATGGTGGATTCTGCACGAACAAACCTCAGTAAACACCCATGACCTCTATTTAAAAAAACAAAAAAACGTAAGGTTTGTTGCTTTGGCATAAAATGATGGGCGAGTATACTTTACCTTACTTTTATACAGTTTCATGCTAAAACACATATTTCTTAGTTTCTGTTAGCATTGGCAACCAAACATGTTTTTGGTAGCTTCTCCCATTTCTTTAAGGGGTTATGAGGGGACTGACATATTGTATGATGTTTGTTTTTGTTTTTTTAATTTTTTTTTTTTTTTTTTGCTTCAGAAGCTATTTATTTTGAAGTAACTGATACTGTGTGTGCTGGACACTAATTGTGGTTTCATTTCTTAGCATGTTATGCCACTTAATGACTAAAAATGACTTGTGCAATAAAGGGCGGGTAATATTAAGTATGAGTTTTATGCTAAGAATTTGTGTTACATACTTAAAACTAGTTTGAAATGTATGGTTTGCTTTTTAACCTATAAAAGGAATTTTAAAAAAAATGTATTCAGCTGCAATAACATTCTGAGGCTTTCATTGTCTACTTTTTTCATTATAAAAGCATTTTGCCTTAACAGTACAGTTTTTCTGCCATTTAATACAACGCAAATAACATGACTGTATAAGCTAGTGTCTGTCAACAGTAGTCCTTCGTGTGCCTCATCGACAATTTAAAAATAAGAAAATAAAATTTTCCACCGTCCAGTTTAAAAATATTGTTGATGGAGACATAAACGAGGACTGACATGTTCTTTGGGTTTTTTGTTTGCTTTGTTTTGTGTTTTTTTTTTTTTTTCTTCTCTATACAAGTTGTTTCATTGATGGTAAATTTTGCCTAAATCGTGAACTGGTAAAAATCCTTATTTCACAAATGATGGAACTGATTTTTGGGGTGTATGGAATCTGTTATTGTGAATTTTTAGCAGCTAATACACCTCTGTCCTATGTCTTTCTCCGTTTTATGCTACTTTGTCGGCAGCATTATGCACAATCTACTTGCTGTTCGATCGTATGTTTACACCAAATGTGTTCATTTTATGGCATTTTTCTTGTAGATTTAATATGTTGGATTTAACGGAGGAATGTTTTTGTTTAATTTTTTTTGTTTTTATTTCCATTTTGCCTCTTCAGTGTTATGATATATTATTAAAAATTATAGATAATCTGTTTTGTATCTTGCATTTCATATACCAATAATTTAAAGTGGCAAAATTCTGAAGAAAATCTATTTTTGGTTTTATGTTATGGAACCATATTAAAAGGGACACTATAGTCACCATAACAACTACAACTTATTGAATTTGTTGTGGTGAGTAGAATCATTACCTTCAGGCATTTTGTTGTAAACACTGTCTTTTCAGAGAAAATGCAGTGTTTACATTACAGCCTAGTGATAACTTCACTGGCCACTCCTCAGATGGCTGTTAGAGATCCTTTCTGGGTCATGGCTGCCTAAAATGCAACCAAACATTCAGTGTCTCCTCCCTCTGCATGCAGACACTGAACTTTCCTCATAGAGATTCATTGATTCAATTCATCTCTATGAGGAGATGCTGATTGGCCAGGGCTGTTTTTGAATCATGCTGGCTCTGCCCCTGATCTGCCTCTTTGTCAGTCTCAGCCAATCCTATGGGGAAACATTGTGATTGGATCAGGCTACCACTTCTGATGATGTCAGCAGACTACTTGTTTTTCTGAGTCAGACAGCATGCAGATCTACAGTTTCAGGCTTGAATACAGTAAGATTTTGCTATATTTATGGAGGCATGCGCGGCACAGGGGGGCTAGATGGTGATTTTAAAACTTATAGGGTCAGGAATACATGTTTGTGTTCCTGACCCTATAGTGATCCTTTAAACCTGCTGGTTTAATATTGTCGAAATAATGCTTTAAAAATGCCCATAAAAGTTTTAAAGGGGAAAAGAGTTACTTGCATCAGTTGTTATGTTGGAAATTTATGTATATTAAGTCTCTTCCCAGAGTCTCTATAGACTATGTTCAAAACTTACATTCACTACAAATAAACCAACATGTGACATATATTGTTTAGCACTTCGCAGTAGTTTTAATTGGGAAAAAAAAAAATTGTGAAATAACTTTTCCAGTTAATAGATGCCATACTGTATTCATTTACCCAATGGCTTTAATTATGTTTTTCTTGAATTAAGTTAGTTGTGGCCGCACTATGGTGTGTTACATGAGTATGCACAAATTCTAAGTTGTCTATCATGAATGGTGTGGCCTCTGAGAGTAGAAAAATCTAAACTTCTTAACTATGTTGTGTGTGTGTGTGTTTTTTTTATTTTTTATTAAGTAAAGTTTGCCTGGTATATGTCTCTGCCTTTTATGTTTGTTGCTTTTGTTCAGCTCAGGCCGTTTACTGTGCTAGCAAACATGATTGTAAGTATATGTATTTTGAGAGCTTCCTCTTAAAAATATAGTACCACCCTCCACCTGTCAACCACTTCTCTGCATAAACCTTTATGTCAAGGACTGAGTGGCAGCGAAACTCTCCTACCGGCTGTTCCCCAGATCTGTCACAGTGATATTCTGATATTCCTCTAACTAGAATGTCTTGCTTGTTCTGAGTGAGTACATGAAAGTTCTGATGTTGATGCAATGAAGAGGAAGGCCATTGTCAAGGGAGAGGATTTACCTGCTTGGGAAGGTGTCTTAACTTAGGGGGAGGGGTTGGGTACAAGTAATGTTTATTCATGCATTACAATATTTTACTTTGCAAGAAGGCATTCCAAGGTTACTGAAGTAGAGTCACAAAATGTAGATTGCACACATTCTTCATATGATCCATATGTACATAACAAAATAGCATACACTTAAAATATGCAAAACAATCTTTTAATTATTGGTGATTTTAATGCAGAACTGTTTATTTAATTTGTAATGGCCAAGTAGAAGTTAGCTGTTGGGTGTGGGGCTTTTATTTTTTTTATTTTTTTTACAATATGTCTACTGTGCATGCATAGATATAGCAGTTCACCGCATTTGTGCCCAAGGTATCCTGGAGTTGCAGAGTTTATGCAAAATAGAAGTGCAGAAGAGGTAAGTAAACTTTCCCCCCATCAAAAAAAAACTGCGTTATTAACTCAAGTATGTGCTGCAATAGTGTCTCTTTAGTGGTAACTGTAATTTCTCTGGTAGTGAGAGTCCCTCTTTAAAGTTAGAACATTCATTCAGTATTTCTAAAAGGCAACGGATTATTTATTAATATGTATTAATCCTAGAATATTTCTTACTGACCAAAAACAGATTTCAGAAACCAACAGAGTATTTATGCAATACCAGAGGTGCAGAGAACTACTTTGTTGCTGAGCTAAAACTCTAACCTGCAAACGTGTGCCTTACTTCAGTAATCCATTAATTAATATCTGGAGACCTGTGGTCTACATGGGGTAACTCCTAAAGTAAAACCTATTTAAAGTGAACCAATTTGACAAGATTTATACAAAGGAAGAAGTAAGGGTCACTTGTCACAAGAATTGACACACAGGAGGAGAAACCACTATACATCTGAGTCAGTGTTATAACTGAATCAGAACCAACTGAAGATTTCCCACACTTTATCAGAATTTTCATGCCATTCCTATTGTCTCTATAATTGTTGAAAGCAGTGCCCCATAAGCAGCCTGTTCCGCATACCAAAATCCTAGTGATACAGTTCCAAAATAGGCTAATCTCACGGCAGCTGCCAATGGACATGCTAAAACACTTGAGTCCAACAACTTGTTCTTTCAAAACCTTATGAGCTCCACTATGCACTGGAGACCATACCTAAAATCCTCAGTAGTGCTTTTTCGATCATCCCCTAAGATACTGAGAGAGGAGGCATAGCTGAGCATCTGGGGACCAACCTTCAGGGGTTAAATTGTTTTCAAACCATTTAACCCCAAAGTTAGGTAAGTGAAACTCCTGCACTAGAACAACTTTCTTTGCGATGGAATTGTTATGAGGGTGTGAGCGTTCCTGTAAGTCTTGTTTTAATAACGTAAGGGTTCCTAAAGCAGTTTAAAACAAGACTTGATATATGAACAAACCCTACTGCTTTACAGTTTGTGTGTCAAGCTTGGCAAATTATGATACTTGGGTAATTTTCTGTATTTTGTATTTATATATTATTTACATGGATTATGGCTAATAACATGCAAATAACTTAATTATCTTTGCTCATAATTGCTTGAATATTTGCCTATTGACTTTTGTAACATAGCCTGAAAACATATTTGTCAGAGAAAATATAGTAAAGCATACATCAAGAGTTGTCCCGGGACCTTGAGACTTGTGCCAGTGGGAGTCCAGGTAAAACATAACAAAAACATATTGTGTGTTATACATCCTCAATGCACAAAACATCCCACTGGTAAAAAAAGATGATTAAGGTGTGTTTACAAATAAGTACCAACAATATAAATAAATTCTGAAGTGTGTGTGTATATATATATGTATATGTATGTTTTACATGCTGCTGATTTACTACAAGTAGGGTAGGTACCGTGTCACTACGGACAATGTCACAGACCCAGTTTTTCAAATGGCTGCAATCCAGTGTGCTTAGTCCAGAAAATGGAAGACTTGTTGTACAGTGGGGTAACGAACACTGCTTCCCCATTCTGGTGGAATAGGAGGTTTAGCCACATGAACAGGTCTTCTCCAGAATGTGTGTCTAGGGTTACAGCGCTATTGTTGGTAGGTGACCCTGAGAGCAGGCTGAGTGGTTGGGAAATGAAGGAGCGCCCTTGTAATGTGCATTCCACAGTTAGGAGAACCAAGGAGAGACTGCAGATGCAAACAGGAACAGTCATCGTTGCCCAGAAAGCACTCTCCATTTCCCTGATAAGCTGGACCTAGTCTGCGAGGAGACTGGACTGCAATGATCTAGAGTCCACTGTAAGTCCAAAAAAAATTAAACTCGTGAGAGGGCCCTCTTACCAGTTTTATTTTTTATTTTTGAGGGGGTCTATCTAGAGACAATGAAACCCCAAGGACGCAACCGATTCAAAGGTCATGTACGCTATGGGGTATTGTATTTAGCTCCTCTATCGTTGTAAACGCGTCTAGAAAATGTATCACTAAGGGACAGTACTGATGTACAAGTAGACTTTTTATTTATTTCTTTTTTATCTTTATTGTATTTCACTCCTTTTAATATATTTGAATATATTTTAGTTTGACCAAATAAAGTACTTTTTTATACCACTTGTATCCAGTCCTTTGAATACTTACCTCGCATCCAGTTCTTATTGCTGATTTGTGTCCACGTATATCCTCAGGTGGTTTTGTTCCACCTAAAGTTCTACACACTAAAGCAGGTCCTTGCTCTAAGTTATGTAAGTAGGATATTATCCTTCCACAATTACTGTTAGTTTCCATGCCATTGGATTTTTGTATTTTATTTTTTTTATATAGGGTGACCATTATTCATTTGAGAATCATGTCTTGCTGACATCTACAAAGAAATCCTTAGACAGGGATGATTCCACCAAAGCCATTGAAATAGAGCTCATATGGGTCTATAAAGTGTGAGTGTTTCTTTGGCACTATTTTAAGCATTTTCACTATTTTGTTATTACGCTGCACTATTATTTTGTTTTTTCATTCTTTATCCCCTTAACGACTGCAGACGTATAATGCACGTCCAAAAAAAACCAGTAGTACTGTCCCCTTGTGGATTGGGCAGTGCCTGCAGGGGGACTGCCTGAGCTCTCAGGCTGTCCCCCTCATGCCTGTAAAAAAGTTTGTAAAAGTTTAATAAAGTTCTGAAACACTTTATAAATGAAATATATTACTTAGATCATATATATATATTTGTATATATTACATAGCTGAAAAGAGACTCGCGTCCAAGCTCAGCCTTCCTCACATTTGTTTTTTGCTGTGTGTATGTATGTATGTATATATATTATATCAAAGTACTTTTATATACACAAGCACAATCCATTATTCTAAGTGTATTTTAATATTAATCTATATATACAATCAAAACACAAATGGGATACGGCTGCAAAATCTAAAAAAAAAAAAACATAAATAGAACATGCAATACAATTTTAACAGGTAACATACAATGTGTAAAGGCGCACTCACAAGATATAGACGTATAAAGTGCTCAAGGGTGCCTCCCCCGATGTAATTGGGGGGCTGAAAATCTCCCTCCACTGCCTGCAGGAAATCAGGACTCCGGATGGTAGTATAAAATAGCGGCTTTTATTATAGCTCTAATAAAATGGTAAAACAACAGGAAGTTCCAAGTGTGGTCTTATGCGTTTTGTCCCACACTTGGAACTTCCTCAGAGACCATAAAATTACAATTACAAATGCTTGTACAGAAATAGCAGCCTGTAGGAAGTGGAGGGGACCCACAGGAGTTTTTCCCACCCGATACTCGTGTGCACTGGCCATCTTGAATCTCGTGAGATTCACTGTGGCCATTTTGTTTCTTGTCCTAGGCCATTTGGTTAGGGTATACAGCGTTTTACAGTAACAAATCTGTACCAGGACACATTCTAACGCTGCCATACTGCCTGTCTACACAAGGAATCTTCCTGTTACACTTGCTCTTCTGCCTGCATTCATTCCTGTGCTACACTACTGCTCAACTGCCTGCATTCATGGATCCACTGCTACACTGCATACAACTACTAGATTCAAAACAATACTATCACCATAGTGTGAACATGTGAATAGTGTGCAACAAGTATAAAATATATAAGTTTCAGCGCTTAGTCAATAATCCCCTTAAAAATGACAAGGGTGCATTTATATGCAAATAGTGTATATGATACTATACAAAATATTAAAAGAATGTCCAGATTGTATAAAGCAGTTGTATAGTCTTGCACAGAAACAAAGTCCAGATATTGTTGCAATATGTAGAGATTCAGAGATATATGAAGATACCTTAGAGAAAAAGAAACATAGAAAGATACATAGTGTGACTCTGTATCAAAATTTATTTTCCAAGACAGTAACACCCCCCAAAATAAAAACTCTTACACTATATAAGATATAGTACTCATCGTGGTAAATCTGCTCGTGATGTAAAATCAAAGCTGATGGTCTGGTTCCTCCAAAAATGTAGCAGCTGCCTGGTGCACACAGGCACGCTGGTCGCGTTGGTATCAGTGGGGAAACACTCACGATCAATTCAGCTCCTATTGAAAGTTCAGGTGGTCTTCTGCATATGAGTAGTGTTAGCACCTTATCAACGCGTTTCGCCCTTCTTCCGAGGGCTTTTTCAAGATAGGTGCTCTGAGGGTGGCTCGGCAGTTTTATACTTTGCCGGGCAAACTAATTTAAATCTCTTAAAGGTGTATACCCTTATTATTAAAACATACAAACATACGTGTTTTAAAAATAAGGGTGGCTCGGCAGTTTTATACTTTGCCGGGCAAACAAATTTAAATCTCTTAAAGGTGTATACCCTTATTTTTAAAACACGTGTATTAAAACATACAAACATACGTGTTTTAATACACTTGTTTTAAAAATAAGGGTATACACCTTTAAGAGACTTAAATTCGTTTGCCCGGCAAAGTATAAAACTGCCGAGCCACCCTCAGAGCACCTATCTTGAAAAAGCCCTCGGAAGAAGGGCGAAACGCGTTGATAAGGTGCTAACACTACTCATATGCAGAAGACCACCTGAACTTTCAATAGGAGCTGAATTGATCGTGAGTGTTTCCCCACTGATACCAACGCGACCAGCGTGCCTGTGTGCACCAGGCAGCTGCTACATTTTTGGAGGAACCAGACCATCAGCTTTGATTTTACATCACGAGCAGATTTGAAAGAAACACTTTTCCCTGCATGATCTACCACGATGAGTACTATATCTTATATAGTGTAAGAGTTTTTATTTTGGGGGGTGTTACTGTCTTGGAAAATAAATTTTGATACAGAGTCACACTATGTATCTTTCTATGTTTCTTTTTCTCTAAGTTATCATCATATATCTCTGAATCTCTACATATTGCAACAATATCTGGACTTTGTTTCTGTGCAAGACTATACAACTGCTTTATACAATCTGGACATTCTTTTAATATTTTGTATAGTATCATATACACTATTTGCATATAAATGCACCCTTGTCATTTTTAAGGGGATTATTGACTAAGCGCTGAAACTTATATTAGTATTTGCATATTGGAATTGGGAAATTTCTTATTTGTTTTTAGCTGCTAAAATTATTATAGTATATTGAGTACATACATCGACTATCATCTAGGTCGTTCATCCTATTTATATATGCGCTCTCTTTTATTTTTTTTTATTTTTTTTTATTTTTTACAAAGTATAAAATATACTTCTCTAATAAAAAAATTGGACATCCTCCCTAAGATCACTTACCAGATAGTGGTTTCAACCAACCAGAATATAGACAACAAGAAATATATGGGAAACAGCTGTTAAATCTGAAAGGATTATAAAACCAAAAATATAGTGTAATACAGTTAAGAAACAGAACATTTCTATTATTTAACACCTGTGATGCTTTAAGCATTCTCCCAATCGATGTGCGTTCATTGATTGTGGATTGGAAGCAGAAATTAAGTCTGCTCGGTACTTCTGTGCGTTCCACTTGTGTGTTACATCTGCTATGTGCAAGTATAGTATACTCACTCTAGAGGTCTCCAGGGGGAATTACAGGAAATACAATATTCAAGATAAATGACAAGATCGTATTGTGTGTCTGCTAAAGAGAAATTATTTTCTGTCAAAGATTCTCAATTGAAACCAAGATTTGATGAAGCATCATACAGACCGCATACAAACCATGATTATATAATAATAATCTCTAATTATTTTCTTTATATTATTGGCAAAATCAACATTTATGATTTAAAGTGACAGGGGCATTAATCACAGATACCTAAATGAGTTATTTTCTAAAAAGAAATCACTATGTTCTTTAGTATTAAAGGGACACTCCTGGCACCCAGACCACTTCTGCCCATTGGAGTGATCTGGGTGCCAACTCTCACTACCCTTAACCCTGCAGCTGTAAATATTGCAGTTTTCATAAACTGCTATAATTACATTGCAGGGTTAACTCCTCCTCTAGTGGCTGTCTACTAGACAGCCACTAGAGGACACTTCCTGGTTTCTAGCACGGACCTCCAGAGTCGCTCAATTCCCCATAGGAAAGCATTGAAAGCATTTTCTATGCCGCGCGCGCATTAGGTCCCCCCATGCGCGATCGGTCTCCCCCGCCAGATGACATCAGCAGGGGAGGAGCGTGGGCGGACCCAAAACCACCACAGAGGGACATCGGTGGGGGTCTCAGGTAAGTCACTGAAGAGGTTTTCACCCCTTCAGCAACATGGGATGGGTGGTGTGAGGGAGAGGGTACCTGCAGTGCCAGGAAAACGGTTTGTTTTCCTGGCACTGGAGTGTCCCTTTAATTACTGAAACCACAAAGTTATTCTAATGTAGGTAACCACACATGCCTATTATTACAATATGATGAATTTTGTAACATCTCATTCAGAGAGTTTAAGAGATGTTTATATATACAGAACAATATCCCATACCCCACCGCCACCCCCCCCAAAATAAATATATATATATATATATATATATATATATATATTCCAAAAGAGGAGAGAAACAATAGCTGAGCTAAATAAGAGAGGAAACAAGAAGAAAGGTGGACCATAGGAGTAACTATGGTCTATGAACAAAAAAAAACCTAAGCAGAGTTATAGTAACAAAATTATAAAGAGCATAATTATAAAGGACAAAAATTATAAAGAACAAAATTATAAAAACACCAACATTTTTAAAAACAAACCAGGTCTATGTCCACATTCAGTCCCTTAGGTTCTAGCGTTTGTAATTTGTGAATCCAATAGGTTTCACGCTGAGTACGTTTTCTTACTCTATCCCAGCTCCTCGTGTGGCAATACTCTTTTTATGCCTATGCACTTGAACTCTCTAAAAGAGAAATAAGGGCACGCGTTACGGTGAACCGGGACTGAATGTGTCATAAGGCCTTTCCTGATGTTATTGAGGTGTTCCATAACTCTGACTAAGTTTTATTTTGGTGCGACAAACATATTGTTTGTCGCACGGGCACAGCAGCAAATAAACTACAAAGTCCGTGTGGCAACGAACTCCAGATTTAATCTTAAAGGT